ACCCTCCTCCCTCTCATGCTCTCTGTCTCTCATTCTCTCTCTCTCAGATAAATAAAAAAAAATCAAAAAAAAAAATGCATCACCTGAATCTAATCATGAGGAAGTCCCAGACAAACCCGAACTGAGGGAAATTCAGGAAAATAACCAGCCTGTACACTTCAAAAATATCAAGGGTATGGAAGACAAAGGCTGAGGGACTGCTTGGATTAGAGGGGGTCGAGGACACAGGACCGCTAAGGATGATGCGTAAGCGTGGATTGGATCCTGAACCAGAAGAAAAAAAGAACTGCTGTAAAGGACATTATTAGAGTAATTGGTAAAAATTTGAATAAGGTCTGTAGATTAGGTAATAATATTTTGTCATTGCTAAACCTTCTGGTTTTGATAATTGTCCTGTGGTTATATAGGCGAATTACTTGTCCTTGAGAAATCACTTGCAAGTATTTAGGGATAAAGTGTCCTAATGCCTCCAACTTACTCTTGAGCCGTTCAGGGAAAAAAAAATCTGTATGTATGAAAACTAATGAAAAAGCAAATGTGCCTAAATGTTCATTGGTGAATCTGGGTGAAGGGTATATATGAGTTTTCAAACTATTTTTGCAACTTTTATGCACATTGAAATTATTTAAAAATAAGAATTAAAACATAAGTAAAATAAAATAAACTACCAAACCTTTAGAAGAAGAAGAAACATTGCAGTTAGGCAAACGGTCAGCAGCTGTCAGAAGCCTTCCACCTCCTGGTCCTGTTTCCTCACCGTCCCCTCTCATGGTCAGCCTGGAAAGGCCAGCTGTATACTAACAGGGAGCTTTAGAATCCGCCGTAGAGGCAGGGACAAGTGCCGGGCTTGTTTGCACGCGTGGTAAGGAGAGAAAGGCGATGGAATCCAGCACAGTGCAGTGGCCAGTGGGAAGGGGTGGGGTGAGGGGGCTCCAATGACCTCATTTGGCCTGCCTGCAGCTTTTTAACCTAGGTGTCTCGGGAAGGGCAGGGTGAAGCACTGTGATGCTAGAAGAGACTGTTCTAGCACTGAGATGCTGCTTGATCCCAGGAAGAAGGTGAACTTGGCTCCCCAGGAGAGGAGCAGTGCCCACTATCAGCCAGGAGAGGGCGCTCTCTTCTCCCGCATCATGCTGGGAGCCAACAGACTTTTCCACTCTGGGTGTGCTCACAGTGCTTTCACGGATCTGCAGATCCCAGGGCAGGATTAGGGTCAGGTGAATCAGGCGGCAGCCTGAAAGTGAGGGTTGGCTTCTGTCTTCATTTAAGATGTGATAGTTTGTTCATTGTGGATGTTCTGCATTAATTTTGATTAATTACTCAAGGTTAATTAATGATTGAAAATATTGCAATAAAATATTATTGATCTTGATTAGTGAGTTGTTTGTCACCCGCTTAAATGTTCCACCTGAGGCCAGTGCCTCCTAGTCCCAAACCCATGAACTGCAACACCAGCAGCTCAGTTTGCAATTGGTCAGATAAGGTCTGGAGTTAATGGGCCCTTTTGTACCATAAAGAAAGGACTGGCTAAGAGAATTAATCCTGAAAACCTGAATTCCTGCCTTTAAATGTCGCTTTACAGTCAGTGGCTGGGGCCTGACATTATTATCTCTAAGTCTCAATTTTCTCATCTGTAAAATGGAGATCACAATCCCTTTGCAGTTCATTCTGCAGGCAGACTATCACCCAACTGAGTACTTCCTGAGGGCCAGACACTGTGCTGAGTCTGCCCTTTATTTATAAACTCACAAAATGGTCACAGCTTTACCATATAAGAGCTATTATTATCCCCATTTTTGAGGATGAGGAAATGAGCACAGAGAGCTTTAGCGTCTTGCCCAAGGTTGAACAGCCTGTAAGTAGAAGTGCATATGCTTTAACCTCCACACCAGCATTCTCAACAGGGAGGGGGCGATCTCCATCCCCGTGGAGACAGTTGGCAATGTCTGGAGATATTTTTCGTTGTCATGATGATGGGGGGTACTATTAGCATCCGGTGGGTGAAGGCCAAGAATGCTGCTAACCATCATGCAATGCATGGGGCAGCCCCTACAACACAGAATTATCTGGACCAAAATGTCAGCAGTGCTGAGGTGGAGAAGCCCGCTCCCTGCTCTGCTGTTGAGATCAGGGAGCTATATGAGGACTTCACACTCGGGGCTCCCTGAAAGGCAGATGCTATGTGGAGGTGGTTGCTATAGTTCTTTTGTCTCAGTGACCTGGATTCTCTTGATAATTCAGGGACCTGAGTTCCCCTGGCTCAGCCCCCCCACACGATGGTTGAGGAGATGGGCTCTGGGGTCAGTCAGAGCACCATATCATGCTTTCATCAATGATTTACCTGCTATGTGCTGGCCTTGTCCCAGGCCGTGCAGACACACATAGGTGTCCCTGTCCCCACAGAGGTGTCTAGGGGGGAACAGATGTCAGAGAACACACTGACATTATTATCTCTAAGTCTCATACATAATTATACATTGTGCTACACGCCACGAAGCAAAAGACATAGGCCCCATGGAAGAGAATAAAAGGGAAGACACTGACGGGCTGGGGTGTGCAGCAAGGCTTTCCTGTGAAAGTGACATTTAAGCTGAGACCTGGAGGTGGGAGGGAGGAAGGGCACTGCAGGTGGAGGTGGAGGGACAGCTGTGCTAAGGCCCTGAGGTAGGCATTGAAAGCCGCTCAGTGTGAGGAGAGGCCGGTGGGGGAGGAAGAAGGGAAAGGAGAGATGTTCCTTTGAAGAGGCAGGTAGGTAGAGGCCACAGGAAGGAGCTTGGTCTTCATGTCAAATGAAGGGCTCTGAAGGGTTCTAATCAGAGCAGTGACGTGCCGAGGCCAGTCCTTCAGAACGTGACCTGCTTGAGGTCCTGCTGGAAGATGCTGTGTGAGGTCAAAACCCAGAGCCTGCTTCATCATCCGGAAACCATCACACAACGGTGAGGTTGGTCTCAATTAAGCAACCTTAGATAAGGCACCTCGCCTCATGGCTGGGGTGAGGGAGGCTGGCTCTGAACCGTGATAACCAGAGCGATTTGCATATATTGTATGATTATTGTTATAGCTCTATTTGTTACTAGACAAAGAGTGACATCGGTCACTGGAAACACCTGTTTGGGTCAGGCGGCTTGTCCCCCCATCAGTAGCGGGGATTTTCCCACAAGCCCTTTGTTTCCTTTTGCTACTTTTGCTACTCAGCCTGTGCACTTTCACTCCCCCTGAAATCCCCATCGTGGCTTTCTCCAATTCTGAGATACCCTTTGTCCCAGTGTATTGCCCCCACTGACTCCTGTCCCCCCAGGGCCCATGGTGGCTGGCTGTGGCTCGCAGTGATGTTTGGGACCATGTGTCTGAACACCTGCTCCTCATTTCTGCCCATTCCTATGACATTCTGGGAGTTCTTTCGTGGGGGTTTAGTGAGGCTTTGAGGGACCTGACTGTCCCTGCCCAATTGGGACAGTATTTCTCAAGGTGGATGTTGCTCAAGATATTGAAAGGACTTATAGGAAGAAAAGGGTTCTATGGACAATAAAGTCCGGACACCCTATTTCAACACACTGAAGCAGCTTTCTTTATTGCAGGACTTTTCAGAGCATGTAATGTGCTAATGTGCTTTATCAATCTCCAGGGAGTGACATAAATTTATCTTTTT